CATCTGCCCCCAAAATATTTCGCTCGCCAAGGGTTATCGACTCCCCGGGGACTTACATCGCCCCCAAAATATTTCGTTCGCCAAGGGTTATCGACTCCCTGGGGGCTTACATCGCCCCCAAAATATTTCGTTCGCTAAGGGTTATCGACTCCCTGGGGGCTTACATCTGCTCCCAAAATATTTCGTTCGCCAAGGGTTATCGACTCCCTGGGGGTTCACATCGCCCCCAAAACATTTCATTCGTCATAGCAGGAGCCAACGCTCCTCCTCGTGAGGCCCCACTGGGTCCCCAACATGATCAATTTCTACTTACTTCTCGAACAGTTCAGATAACCGAAGAAGACCTTCAGCGTATGATCACGGAAGATTCAACTCGTGCTGCCACTCAATCAGTGGCACCATATATCGCCAAGGTGGGGCATCTCACCCCAGTGGTTCGTGATCGCCTCATCCTAAATGGGGGGCTATCCCATCCTAAAGTTGGGCATTTCATCTCAAAGGTGGTACATCCACTGACCTTTCATTCTCAAGGGGGTGCACATCCCATCTCAAGTAACGAGGATAATCTCCCTACTCAAAAAATAGAACATCCCCAAGGGGGTGCACATCCAATCTCAAGGAACGAGGATAATCTCCCTACTCAAAAAATAGAACATCCCCAAGGGGGTGCACATCCCATCTCAAGGAACGAGGATAATCTCCCTACTCAAAAAATAGAACATCCCCAAGGGGGTGCACATCCCATCTCAAGGAACGAGGATAATCTCCCTACTAAAAAAATAGAACATCCCCAAGGGGGTGCACATCCCATCTCAAAGAACGAGGATAATCTCCCTACTCAAAAAATAGAACATCCCCAAGGGGGCGCACATCCCATCTCAAAGAACGAGGATAATCTCCCTACTCAAAAAATAGAACATCCCCAAGGGGGTGCACATCCCATCTCAAGGAGCGAGGGTAATATCCATATTCAGAAAATAAAACATCCCCAAGGGGGTGAATATCAACCAAATAAAAAAAAAGAAAAAGAAAAAAGATGAAGATGAAAAAATAGAAGAAAAAAGAAGATGATGAAAAAAGAGAAGAAGAAAGAAGAAGAAAAAAGAGAAGAAGAAAGAAGAAGAAAAAAGAAGATGAAAAAAGAAGATGAAAAAAGAGAAGAAGAAGATGAAGAAAAAAAAAGAAGAAGATGAAAAACCAGAAGAAAAAAGAAGAAGATGAAAAAAGAGAAGAAGCAAGAAGAAGAAAAAAGAAGGA